AATTGTAATAATACTATAGATAAGCTTTTAAACACAGCATAAACATTTTCATTGATGCAGCATTGGGATATTTTGACATCTGTAAGAAGAGCCTGGAAAGCTGATTCTGGATATCTACATCTGCAGTTTACAGACTGTTCTGCCTCGGAGGGCCATTCAACACAGTCTTTGAGCAGTGGTGATCAACTGAACGCCCAACTCAGATGTTTTCTGAAACATCACTCTGAATTTTCTGAAAAGCATAATGATATTATGGCTATATATTCCAATAAGTGGACATTTAGCCCTTGATTATATTTAGTTGAATTAATCCTTGTTAGTAGGATGAGGGGTTTATATGACCAAGTCATCCACTGACCTAGACAGGTCAGACTTCCCAACAGCTATTTGACATGCATGACACATTCGGGCCAGAAGCAGCTGTCAAGGCATGTAATGGAGGCACTTTTGAAAGAAATATCACTTAATTGCAGCTGATGCTGCTGAATTAGTCATACTTCCTTACTGCCAGTAGATGGGACACCCTAGTGGAAGTTTATCTTTTTTATCTCAATAAAAAACATGTTTTACAACATGAATTTACAGAAAAAAAATGCAGTAATGAAATAATCCAAATTCTGCTCTTTAGTCATAAATGTGCAATACCCATTCTGACCAACACGACAAAATATGGCTAAAACCACAAAATGTTAAATTTTGGATTAATACAAAAACTGTGTCACTGACAGCATAGAATAGCTATGAAATAATTATTTGAAAGCTTACAACCAGACAGATCTTTTATGAGCACATGGGAATCTCTTGAGATCTCTTCACTTTTAATGTTGGTATGATAGTTAAAAAATTATTATAGAATGTAAAATTTTTAAAAACTCACTGCATAAGTATTTTAAGCAAAAATGTATAATAAATTTCACTCAGTTACATAGATTTTACCTGTTGATTTTTTTAGTATAAACTTTACAAAAACTTTCTTTTACTTGAGTCTTCCCTGACTCATTTCCTTCAGATGGCAGAAACAAGTTTCTGAAGTCCATCAGCATAATTTCTTAGCTGTTTGTCTGGTGTCTTACCAATTGTTAAAGTCCTGCTTACATGATGAGTAACTGACTGTTCCATTTGGTGTATCTTAACTACCCCTAATTTCCCTTGGGCTTCCTATCCTTGCTGTGTGTTGCGTTTTATCAGCTGGGGAGACAGCCAGCGTGTCTATTTTTGGCAGTGACATGTTAAACAGCATACACAAGGGAAGACGCAATAGCTATTGAGCAAGGATACCATGTGAGTGAAAAAACATCTACCACTGACTTGTCCTTTCTGGAAAAGTTACTTGTTATTTACATTTTCTTAATGTTTCCAGAAGAAAGGTACAGCTTTGCTAATTAAAGGCTTGCAAAGCTTACACTGGAGTTTCCAATCTACAGCCCCACAGACTGCGTTTAGCCTCCCAGAACAATTAACTCAACATGTTTCTCAGGAAGCCTCAGGTTCTTCCTATCACACTTATACATCTTAAACCACATCACACAATCTGTTTCTCAAGTTTGATGTTTATATTACTATCAACATTATCATTATTACCTGCAAGGCTAAGCTGTAACTATTAAAATGTCCAATGCTGAACAAGCCTGGTAGCCCGTATATACACATGCCACCTTGACAATCCCTTATCACATCACCTACTGTGTTGACTAGTCATCCTCTACTGTGTTAATTAGGTCACAAACCCTTCTTCTGGATCAAAAGTGAACTACTAACTATAGAATCCAGACATGACTGATCTCCTAATTCCAAGTGGCAAAATTTCTTGTTAACTGGGCATCAAAAGGACCAAGCTTCTTTGTGTTTGCTATGATTTTAATATAGTTCAGCAAAATGTCAGGCAATTGCCATCACAGTCACGTAATTTTCTTTTCCAGGCAGATGGATGGCACAAATGATGAGGGCCATTAGAAAAGACTTAGCACCTCTGAAGTTACAATCAATATACAAACTATGATATATAGGTGCTTTAACATGGCATGCCAAAAGCCGTTTTCTTGGCAACTCCTCTAAGAAACAGTATTTGAAGAGTGGGAGGAAGACTTTAGAGTTCTACTTGATAGATGTATCATGTAGAGGTTCATGAATTAAATAATTCTTGGGAAGGAAAAAAAAAAAAGAAAAAAAAGGAAAAAATAAAAAAGAAATTACAACCCCACAGTCTGGAAATAATTGAAAAGAATATGCTATACAGTGGACTTTCTATTAAGTATGTTGTATGCATGTTGTAACCTTCATGTCATGAATGATCACAGATTCAAAGACAGGAAAACACAGGAAGAAATAAATCTGCCCAACATCTTGCAGATAGTTAATGTAATTTTTAAATATATTATTTTATATCTTATATAAAACCAGTGTCACAACACAAAACTATGTAAAAACAACAACTAAATTGTGCAACATTTTTAAGTGTTGGTGCCACTTCCAGAATTTTTTATTACTTATGGTACCTGGCACAGTAACTCATTTGCAAATTTATGCACTTTCAGAAATAGGAAACTTTGCTATCCCACCGTAGTTCCTGTAAAGCTTTTGGTCTCAAAGTTAGCATGAAGATCTTCTCTTCTGAGGTTTAGCATTTGAAATTTTGAGTAAATCTACAGCTTTGTTTTCTCTTTGAATAACATTTTTGAGGCTTATTAAACTGTAAATATTAACCTAAATGTATATAGTTCTCCTAGTTGTAAGTCCTGTCTTTGCATTTACATGAATCAAAAATAACTGAAGAGACATTGGCTCAATATTCCAGCAACATATGGAGAAATAAGGCAAAGGCAGATATGCAAAGGAAAGGAACACAGGTAGTACGGGGTTGGTTAAAAATCATTAAAAAAAAGCATGCCTGTATATACAATTTCAAATTTCCCTGAAAGCTTGCATTCAACATTATCCCAAAGAAGCCGTAAACCTACAGCAGCAGGAAGAGTGGATAGCCTCAATTAATCAAATCCATAGACCTACTTCAATTTCACTCCCCCGTATTTATTCACGTACAACAGTGATTTTCATTTTTTTCCATCTCTTCCATCAATACCAAAACCATTTTTATGGCATTGTTCTCTTCATTTCACATTCGTGATCAGGGCTAAACATACTGCTTACACTTAGAAATCAAATCTCATTTCAAGTCTCCAGTTACACAATATTCCTCCCACTTACAGACTCCCACTGTTACCTTGGGTGTCTCTGCATTGTCTCAGTAAATGCTGTTTTCCAGCAGCATAAAAAAAATCATAACAAATAATTTTAGTTTTTTTCAGTTCATGTTTGAAGTGTTATCAGCAACACAGTTAAGGAATTTTATACAGACAGCAGTGGTGTTTTATTTTATGCATTGAATACTTTTCCTGTATCAACTATATCAACCATGTTGATATGAGACATCTTGCTGCAACAAGAGCAAGGGATCTGATTCATGTGGCGGGGAGGACGGAATCAGCCCAGCTGACACTGCATTCTTGTAGACCAGTTGATAAGACAGTTACCACCTACCAAGACTGAAAAAAGGTAGAATTGCTTCCATTAATGCAAGTTAGCCATTCATAGTCAATTTATAATGCAAGTTGTCTGAAATCCCAAGAGATGTAAACAGAAAGAAAGCCTCAAATCTTCACAACCTACACCAGAACACCAGTAACGCTCCGAGACAGACTGCGAATTAATCCTCAGCCTTTCCAGTCATTTCATCATAACAACATTACAAAGGCGTATCAACAGCTTTGACAGCTGTAGCCTAGCTAGCAGAGTGAACTGAGGCTGCTTGAAATCAATTTTTCTTCTGCAGCTGGAAATACAGAGGAGAATGCTTATCACATCTGTACCTCACACTGTGCTCAAAATATACAATTCTGTGTTTGCATTGTTGTGGTTGATGCTGTTTTCCAAAACCTGAAAATAGCTGAGCCTTTACAAAAAAGGCATTTTATTAACTCACGCTCTGCTAAAATAAAAAGCATATTTTTTTGCCACAGTTCTTCCCAGAGGAGACAGCAGAGAACACAACCCGTACAGCCTGCCAGCACTATCAGACAACAACAGAAGAGTTACATGGTAAGACAGGAGAAGAAACTAGGAACAGGTTGCATTATGGAATACTATGCCTAAAAAGAGAATTTTAATAGCATATGGTTTTGAAGTAAATTATTTTGTACATATAATACACATTCAACAAATACGTATTAACAAAGGTTGCAGGTAAGATGATTTTTTTTTTCCAAACTCTTCATACAGCACTGAATGTTCTGGTGACTTTGGTTTTAGACCTAAAATAAGATAAAGCCTATACGCATATAGGTGTTCATATATTGTAATCTAGAACAGGCTGCCCAATGTTGTTTTCAGTTTTTCAAAAGAAAGGATTGTTATGACTTTTTCAACAGAGATATAACAATCTTTAGTTAAAAAAAAGTCAACTCTCAGTTGATATTTTATCATGCTGTCATTACCTTGTCTTCTATTAACCCACCACTATTGATTTATTGATATTATGCTGACTTTAGACTGCATGGTTTTTAGATCACAAGACAATATAACAGATTCAGTGGTTGTAAAGACCTAAGTATTTTGTGAATATGGGGAAGGGCATTAAAATCACTTAGCACTAAAATACAAACCACACAAATAATGATATTTGGTCTGTTATTTTTTTCAAATGTAAATATAGAGCAGTGTAACAAAAAGTTCCATTTAAGTGGTAAATCCAAAAGCAACAGGTCACTAATATGCTCCTGGAAAAGATGCAAAGTTTGTCCATTCTAGATAGGATTGTGATCAAATAACTGTGAATCCATTACTTTCATCCTGTGTAGAAGGGCTCTTGTTACTTGCTAAATTGTTTTCCTCTTTGGACAGGAAAAAATCTAGCTAACAGCATGTCTGATTTTATTTAAATCATTTCTTATCAAAGTAATCTTCCAGAAGCAAAGGTGATCTTCCAAAAGACAGCAGCTTTAGGTTTATAAGTTTATGTTCCTTATACTTTCCAAGACTTCATCATGAAACCAAGTTTCAGTAAACATATCAGAGTTTTGCAAAGCCTCAAAAAGACGCCTATAGTCTTCTGGGTATAAGTTACGTGTTTGAGCATTGTTTGGAATTTCTAGCTGACTCAGTAATTTGCCACCACTGTCCAAGCTCCACGAACTGAAACAAACAAACAAAGAAAAACAATAATGGAGCATTTATTTCTGTCAAAAATTAAAAAGCAAGAAACAGTATCTGAATGTCCATTTCACTCTTTCACAGCTTCTAGAAGAAGTTAACATCTTCCTACAACACAAGTTATTTTCAATCCATACTGCAAATAGGAAGAAACCTCTGCTAATAAGACATATAAATACAAAATAAAGCCCCCAGCAGACATAGACAATACCAAATCACATAAGACAGCTCATTAGAGGGTAGATGCCCTCCCTCCTCCTTCCACCCCAACTGCTTAAGTCAGTAACAGGCATTACAGCATAAAAAGGGGTGTTGTGGTTTAAACCTGGTTGGCATCTGAACACCACGCAGTCGCTCACCCCCTCCTCCCAGCGATGGGGGAAAGAATTACTAGCTACTGCGATGAAAGTTAACTCTGTACCAGCAGAAACCAGGACAAGGGGTTATTCTTCAATGCCTGGGAAATTAAAGCCAAGGTCATCTTCAAGAAGATGATTCAGTATAGTATGAGTTAGTGTGACTTAACATCTCCCAGGTATTTTTTTCTATATATAAACAGATGTATCCACTGTCTCCCCATCTACATCACTGCTGTGAAAACGAGACCTTTTATAAATGTGCATATACATTAACTATTTCCCAGACAAGAAAAGGGTGTATAAATACAGAGAAGATGCACATTAGAAGCCTTCAAGGTTAGCTCCACTTCCTGGATGAAGGATCGAGTGGAGATTAGGTACACCCCTGAGCTTTAGGAAAGAAATCCATTAAAGATCTTTGCACTTGTCTTTGCTAAGTGAGTTACTGGAATTTATTAGGGTTGGGTTTTTTTTTTTTCCTTTCTGGAAATTAACTTCCATAAACCACTACCAGAAAATGAGATATATATTAATTATTTTCATTAACAAGTTGAAGTCAATGCTTTCCAGACTGCAAACACTTCCCATTTATGGGAAACAGAAATCTACAGATCATAAAGCAAAGCGAATACCTCCAATGTAATACCAAAAAGAATAATTAAAGCCAGTTGTATAATTGCTATATAAGTCTAAAGCCTATTTTTTTAATTAGATAACAGAAAGCCATTTGAGGACAATACCACTCCACCTTCAGTAACCTTCAGCTGTTTTCATTAGCATTGCTTTGATGTCTGTTATAAACTGAAACTCTTTTTCAACTTGTAATTTCTATACCTGCAAAACTCTTGGTGACTTTATTATGTCTGTAAAGTGAGTGATCTTGCAGATACATGACCTGATCTCCACTGGAGTACAGACAATTACTGCTCGTCTACATTTTAAATACTTGTCAACATTCCTGTCAAACCTCAAGTTTTTACCACCTGTGATATTTAATATTTTCCTATATCTCTCTAAAGAAAAAGTATAAAAACTGTAATTCTTTCTTACTTACTTTAATTTATCAGTAAGTCTGGACGTGGGTTTAGCAAGACACTGTTTCACCATGAAAATAAAGGTAGATGAAGTAGTGGGATTCAAGCCTCCTATAAATAGATTTTGGTGAGGAGTCAGTCGTACCAAACATAAATGGTCATTTGGCAGCCACTGCAAGAAAAACAAAACAAGCCACTGGAGTAATTTTTAAGACAGTGTGTGTCTTTAGCTAAGAGTAAGCATTTCAACTGTGCCACCAGTAACATTTCTAAAAGAGTTTTAGAAGTCTTAGCAAAATTATTTCAGTGTAAGCTGAGGCTTTAAAACTTTGTCCTAGAACGAAGATGCTTTACCTCTCCCTGTCCCCCAAACAGGAAAGGAAATAGGAAACAAAACAGACATGCTATCACTTTGGTTTTATTTTTATTTTTTAAGACTGAACTTTCTTAGTGGAAATAGACAAAACAGGTTTGATGTGAGTTTTCAGGAGATTATATGGCCTATAGTACTCCTGTACTATGCATGGTATCAGTTCTGCCTGCCTTTTGTATATAAAGATGGAATTATTTGAGTTTAACACTAAGACAATATTGCAACTTGAGGATTTTATGAAAGTGGGAGGAGGTGAAGTCTTTAACTGAAATAAATGAACTTCTGTATTAGCACCAATGGATGTATCATCCAATAGATCTCACATTTGTACTTCTCCTTAGGCTGTCACAATACATCTTACATAATCACTTGACACACCTCTCTACATAGCTTTATAGCAACACACTTAGGTCACTCACATTTCCTTATAGTCACTTCTATCGTACAGTAACATTTCAAACAACACTCAATATACTGCCATAGTAGTTTTCTGCGGAGGGTAAAACCAAATATTAAGCAAACATGCTTTTATATTATTGGTATTAAACAGAAACATTCTTATATTATACAAAAGAACATCGTAACTTCTTTAAAAGAGAAAAGTAAAGAACTCTACACGTGGTATTTTTCCACTTCTCAAGTCTCAAGTTTTGAGACTTACACTTTTCAGCAATTAACTAGCATATGGAATCTACACTGGACACGTGAATAACCATTTTAATCAAAACCAGCAGCATAATGATTGTGCTATTAACTGTGGTAACACATCTTGATCAAGCAAGTAGATGTGACCCTGTCAGTAACTTCTTTTGAAAAAGACTTTACCTATTCACATCCTTTTATGCGATCTATCCACTATCTTTTTTTCCATCATAAAGATACTAGTTTATTTCAGTTTCTAAGCTAATAGCAATTCTTCACCCACTTCTAATGCCTCTACATGCCACCCCTAAGTTTTAATTAGAAGAACACTTCTTAAAAAATACACTATTCACAGCCAAAAAATATATGTGTAAATGCTGGTATAAAGTTAATTTAACCTTTAATTAAAGTGATTTATATGCATCTCCAAAAGAAGAAAAGTGCACAAAATTATCTTACCATGCTTTTTGGTACTGCCAGTCCCCCATTTTTCAAATTAGTTACAAATGATGACCAAGGTTCCTATGGGAGTGAGCAAATATATTACAGAATTGAAGTGCTTGGTTAGAATTTGGAAAGACATTTACAATGAATCCTGTCAAATTAGAAGTTTATCCTCATGCTAACATTTACTTTAAAATCATGTAAATATATTAGAACTAGGAAAGAAAAAAGGCAAGCAATAAGCATACAAAGGCTAGACTGAAAATATTATTCAATCCCATTCCTGACAAAGTATCTGAGTAGCACTGGTAAATTACTTATAATCAAATAACTTGCATATATTACCACATATTAGTGGGGCTACCTATTGGTTTCAAGTTCAAAATTTGAGCCAAAGCTAAAAACTGACAGGTGACCATAAGAACTGCTGTACAGAGTGTCCAACCAGCAGTCCCACCAGCTCAATAACTTATCTCCTGAAGTAGCTACAAGCACATGTACAGCAAACACTGTACAACCGGGGCACACATATGTAGTAGGTTCCCTGAGCATCATCTCATTCCTCAACTCCTTAATATTTACCTTAATGTATACCTCATGGTATAAGGTACATGGAAGACAATAGATCATGAAACTTAATTTTAGATTAGCAAAACATTTAAACTATGAAGGTTGGTTCCTAAATGCTGATTAAGTGAAAGAGCTTGATGCAAAACAGGACAGTTTCAGGTTTTTATATCCAAAAGTTTTCAATAGTTCTCCAACTAACTTAAACATCAAATTACCTTCCAATTAGTTTACAATAGTAAAATGCTATAAACCCTTTTTTAAAAACATGTCCATGGCATTAGACAATGTCAGCTGGTACAAAAAAACTTACCATGTGCAGTAGCTGAATTTCACATCCTACTTGCCAAAGTACAGTAAGGGCTTGGTAAGCCCTCACTTCCCCAGGCTTTGCTGTTAATACCTAACAAAATGGCAAAGAAAAAGCATTTTCACTGCAAAAACTAAGATTGCTTCTTTATCTGTGTAAAATC